ACTAATCTATTAGAGTTCTTTGAATGGGTCAACATTTGTGTGGACAAGGGGGATCCAGTGGACATAGTATCAGAGGGGTAGCCGTGTTAGTCTGAATCTGTAAAAAGCAACAGAGGGTCCTGTGGCACCTTTGAGACTTGTACTTAGATTTCCAGAAAGCCTTTGACAAGGTCCCTCAGCAAAGGCTCTTACGTAAATTAAGTTGTCATGGGATAAGAGGGAAGATCCTTTCATGGACTGAGAACTGGTTAAAAGACAGGGAACAAAGGGTAGGAATAAATGGTAAATTTTCAGAGGTAACTAGTAGTGTTCCCCAAGGGTCAGTCCTAGGACTAATCCTATTCAACTTATTCATAAATGATCTGGAGAAAGGGGTAAAAAGTGAGATGGCAAAGTTTGCAGATGATACTAAACTGCTCAAGATAGTTAAGACCAAAACAGACTGCAAAGAACTTCAAAAAGATCTCACAAAACTAAGTGATTGGGCAACAAAATGGCAAATGAAATTTGGATAAATGTAAAGTAATGCACATTGGAAAAAATAACCCCAACTATACATACAATATGATGGGGGCTAATTTAGCTACAACTAATCAGGAAAAAGATCTTGGAGTCATCGTGGATAGTTCTCTGAAGATGTCCATGCAGGGTGCAGTGGCAGTCAACAAGTGAACAGAATGTTAGGAATCATTAAAAAGGGGATAGAGAATAAGACGGAGAATATCTTATTGCCCTTATATGAATCCATGGTACGCCCACATCGTGAATACTACGTACGGACATGGTCTTCTTATCTCAAAAAAGATATACTGGCATTAGAAAAGGTTCAGAGAAGGGCAACTAAAGTGATTAGGGGTTTGGAACGAGTCCCATATGAGGAGAGATTAAAGAGGCTAGGACTTTTCAGCTTGGACAAGAGGAGACTAAGGGGGGATATGATAGAGGTATATAAAATCATGAGTGGTTTGGAGAAAGTGAATAAGGAAAAGTTATTTATTGTTCCCATAATATAAGAACTGGGGGCCACCAAATGAAATTAATGGGCAGCAGGTTTAAAACAAATAAAAGGAAGTTCTTCACACAGCGCACAATCAACTTGTGGAACTCCTTGCTTGAGGCGGTTGTGAAGGCTAGGACTATAACAGGGTTTAAAAGAGAACTAGATAAATTCATGGAGGTTAAGTCCATTAATGGCTATTAGCCAGGATGGGTAAAGAATGGTGTCCCTAGCCTCTGTCTGTCAGAGGGTGGAGATGGATGGCAGGAGAGAGATCACTTGATCATTACCTGTTAGGTTCACTCCCTCTGGGGCACCTGACATTGGCCACTATCTGTAGACAGGATACTGGGCTGGATGGACCTTTGGTCTGACCCAGTATGGTCATTCTTATGTTCTTATGAACCTTAGAAAAAAATATCTCACATGCTTATGTTTTTCGTTGCTTAGTTTATTAAATAAGCTTTTCAGGCTAATAAAAGAAATTGCAGGAAGCTTTCTGTCACCTAGAGATAAGCCAAGTGTCAGCAAGATAACACCTCCTTAGCCATAACACCATGTTTATTACCCCAAAAAGTGTTAATAGAAACTCTAAATGCTGCTTTTGTAATTGCTATTTTTCTAAGTCTATATTTTAAAAATATGTTAATTGAGATTTGTGTTTTGCACAAAATATTTAATAGAAGTTTTAATTGCCAACTACAAATGCTACAAAGACAGGTCATAACTCTAAGAAGACAAACAAATCCAGAAGAGCATCTTTCAAAGAACAGAACACCTCCCTTTGTTTAAGATACCAGTTTTTTGGTATAACTGCAAATCTAACCTCAAGAAAATAACCTTGTAAAAAACATTCCTGTTTTAGGAAAAAACACTCATTGTGTAAAGGAATGCAAGGATGATCCTTATTTAGGATACCTCAAATTGGAATGTAAGGATGTGTTATCAGAGCCAAAAACAGCACTAAAAATGGGCTTTGTCAACCCTTCTTTTCCAAGAGAAACCACAGTTCAAAACCCACAAAATTCTTATGGAATATAATTCTTTTATTAACACTCTAAAATCTTTATTCTGAAACTTTAATAATGGGGAAGTGTTTTGAAGAAAATGTTTATTTCATAAATGTTGAAATGGCAAACGCTTTGAGGATGTATGTTCAGAAATATTTTGTCAAAATGCAAAGCTTATAATGTAATTTCCTCATATCCTTGCTATGTGAAGGGTAAAATCTTTTATGTACCAGCCTGAAATCTTGCTGACTAAATTAATAATGTGAGAAACTATTTAGATAGAGAATATTTATTAATGGGGAATTAATTAGCAATATGTAAGCAACTCTTCACCCAACTCAGAAGAACAAGGATCACCTCTTCAAAACTTGTTGAGAAGAGAAAGCAATCATAGACTTTAAGGTCAGAAGGGACCATTATGATCGTCTAGTCCAACTGCCTGCACAATGCAGATCACAGAATCTCACACACTCACTCCTGTAACAACCCTCCTAACCTATGTCTGAGCCACTGAAGTCCTCAAATCATGGTTTATAGACTTCAAGGTGCAGAGACTCCTCCAGCAAATGACCCGTGCCCCACCCTACAGAGGAAGGCCGAAAAACCCCAGGGCCTCTGCCAATCTGCCCTGGGGGAAAATTCCTTCCCGACCCCAGATATGGTGATCAGCTAAACCTTGAGCATGTGGGCAAGACTCACCAGCCAGACACCCAGGAAAGAATTCTTTGTAGGAACTCAGATCCCACCCCATCTAACATCCCATCACAAGCCATTGGGCATATTTACCGCTAATAGTCAAAGATCAATTAATTACCAAAATTAGGCTATCCCATCATACCATCCCTTCCATAAACTTATCAAGTTTAGTCTTAAAGCCAGATATGTCTTTTGCCTCCACTACTCCCCTTGGCTGACTGTTCCAGAACTTCACTCCTCTGATGGTTAGAACAGTTTATATCCATTTGTTCTTGTGTCCACATTGGTACTGATCTTAAATAATTCCTGTCCCTCCCTGGTGTTTATCCGTCTGATGTATTTATAGAGAGCAATCATATCTCTCCTCAATCCTTTAATAACTATTCCAGTTTGAAGACTCTCTTTAAGAATTATTTATTTTTAAAAGGCTTTGAGAACTAAAAAGCTTTTCTATAAAGAACAGGAGTGTTTGGACTCTTTCAGAACAGAATTTCAATTCCTATTGAACCCTAATGAAACTGAAGAAATATCTCAGAAAATGGGCTGAGTGAAAAGAGTTAAAGCTCTAAACTTAAAGATGGTGGGAGAATCTCCCAGCAAAAAGAAAAACGAAGTATAACTGTCAAGAAAGAATTACAACTCTAACACATATAAGAATGAACAAATTACATATTTATAAGATGTATAAGAGGCTCCTAAGAACAATCCAGGAAGGTACTGAGCCAATGAAAAGATGACAGCGGCTAATTTGGAATTTGCACTCTCTGTGCCTCCATCCACAACTTTACAGCACTCATCAATTAATCCTGTCCAGCTATACAAGCAAGCTGCCACAGCCAGCTAAGAAGAGAACAGCCTTGCAGCAGCAGTGAAAAGGCAACCTTCAACCCCCAATGGACATCACCAAGACTTCGACATGGAGTAGTGAGATGAAATAACTAAACCATTACCACGGGATTAGATTTGAAAACTCTTGTAATGATTTTATTGGAATATTGACATGCAATTGTAACTGAACAGTTTCTCCTGATAATTACCAAATGGGTTAGATCATGTATTCCTGGAGAGAAGTCAGGGGCTAAACATCAGTAAACAGAAAAACAGTGGGATTTAACTGGATTTAAGATTTTTGGCTTAAGACAGATCTGTAGATGACTTTTTCTAAATAACTGGTTTAAATACTTTATTTAATTTGTTTGGATTTTAGTTGCTTACTTTTCCCATTTTAAAACTCTTTTAGCTTATCAATGGTAACCAAGCAGGACTCACCTGACCTTAAACAAAATTATTTTGCCCATCTATAAACAGTTTTCAGTTATCTAATGATATATTAAGATTGAACCCTCAATCATTTTGGGAAATAAGACCTTGGCCTCAACTTACCAAGAGAAAAGGGCCCCACCCAAGCCAGGTCTCCTCTCAAAAGTGTAATCTCTGTAGAAAAACTCTCCACAGAGAGACATCCAGAAGAGATGGTAATAGAAGTAACCTTTGTTTATCATTTGTGTTTTGATTAATGTTTTCTTTTACTTTCTTTAACTATCAAATAGCCAAGGTTAATAATTATGATCATTTGCTCAGCACAAATTGTGCTGTCCTAAATAATTCACAAATTGTGCTGTATGTAAAAAAAACCCTTTGCCTAAAATAGTGAGAGTCACATGCCTGTCTTGGCAGTAAAAGATAACTAGTAAGAGCTGGCCTGCCATTTCTTGTTTATCTAGACTAAATATTTTTAGTAACTTTTGGGATAAAATTACTTGGCACTCAACAATTCCTCTCCCTTTCCCTCCCTCCCCACTCCCCTCCCCTCGTTTGCTCTCTGTCTTAAACTTTCAATCTAGAATAAATGGGTTAGATCATGTATTCCTGGAGAGAAGTCAGGGGCTAAACATCAGTAAACAGAAAAACAGTGGGATTTAACTGGATTTAAGATTTTTGGCTTAAGACAGATCTGTAGATGACTTTTTCTAAATAACTGGTTTAAATACTTTATTTAATTTGTTTGGATTTTAGTTGCTTACTTTAAAAAAAGGTTTTTTCTCTTAATTAATTGGCCTCTCAGAGTTGGTAAGACAACTCCCACCTGTTTATGCTCTCTGTATGTGTGTATATATATCTCCTCAATATATGTTCCATTCTATATGCATCCGAAGAAGTGGGCTGTAGTCCACGAAAGCTTATGCTCTAATAAATTTGTTAGTCTCTAAGGTGCCACAAGTACTCCTGTTCTTCTTTTTGCGGATACAGACTAACGCGGCTGCTACTCTGAAACCTGTCAATCTAGAATAAATTCTTAGGCCAGAGTTGCTTCCTGGGAACCAGGCACTGATGTTTGGGCTGAGATTCCTGAAAGAGGTGTTTGCTTGCATGCCGTTTGTGACCCCCTCTGTCTAGGAGTGAAGTGTACAGAGTGAATAAACAGAATTGCACTAAGAAAATATGCAGACACTATGTCACTGTTTTCTTTTCCAACAGGAAACTTACCTGCAAGGCCCCAACATCTGCTACTGCTCAACAGAGGGGCAACAGTATTATACCCATTTCATAGCTGAGTAAATGAAAGGACAGAATTGTTAGTGAAGTGACATGCCCAAGTGTAAGTTGGTAGCACAGCTAAGAATAGAACTCTAACTAGTACTGAGCTCTAACCATCCAATCACACTTCCTCATTCAGTTTTCCCTTAGGACTTGCTGAAGTTTGGAACTCTGTGTATTCTCTCTCCAGTCCATTTAGCAGATCACTGAGTTCTCTAACCCAGTGGATTTTGGGCTGGGAGAAGACAGTAAAAATCATTTAGTCCGCTGATATTTTCCTCTCCCTGTGCATGCCTAAAATGCAGCTTAGGTTCCTCAAACCCTTTTGATTTCATTAGAACTTCTACATATCTTTACAAGTCTTTAATCTCCTTGAGCAACAGAGTTTTCTGCTCTTCTCTTTAGCTGGCATTTTCAGGCTTTTCAATGTGTTTCTGTCATATCAGTAATTTAAAGCAGTTAAAGAGCCTTTAATTTCATATGTTTATACTGGCAAAGCCCTTGGAGATGCATTCACTGTTTGCAGCATTTCTCCAATGTCAACTTTTCCTGTGCTGTTTGTTTTTCTTCATCCTCTGCAATCTGGGGAGCTCTGTGCTGCATTGTTGTGAGTTTAGGCTAATTGCATTGGCAACCACCTAGGGCCAGAACCTAAACAATAATTTCACACGAGAGAATTTACTCATGATTATTTTTGACCAACTTAGTGGCGAGAAAGAACCTCCTGCCACAAGACTCACATGAAATAATTGTGTAAGAATATTATAACAGGGTTACATATCTTAATAAAAATGTTCTCTTTATAGTAAGTCCAGACAGTTGAGGAAAGGAAATACCTCTTCGTAATCTGTCTCAAATGAACCATAAGAATTGGGGTTTAGAGGAGAGATTTATTCCCTGGGTAAACTGGTATTAGTCAAGCAAAAAATTAATACTGTTATCTCCAAGTTGATCATGGCAACGTAGGTATTCTGAAACTAAGTAAATGTCACAGATGTTTGTTCTACAGATATCGTTAACAAAATATTTGGAGAGACTAAATAACTAATGGTAATCAAGAGAGAAAGGGGGTGGGAATGGGTTATTGGACAAGAGTCTGCTGGAACCTGAGATAAAAGGAAGTCAACACAGGTCAGACTGTTACCCTGTTACGACCACCCCTACCACCAATGCACTATTGAGACAATTTTGGAAGCTGCTCCATTTCCCAGCCATGGTAAAACATTTCCTGGTTCATTTTTATACTTTCTTGTTGTTGTTATGTTGCATGAGATAATTATGCTACAGCCTAAAGAGAGTTTGAGCATTTTTGAAAAATCACAATATTTAGACACCAGGAGGGTATTCTGTTTGGGGAGCCCCAGGGCACAGGAAGAGGATGTTTGAGAGAGTCAGACATTTTGCATTTAGTTACAAATGTCCTGTGTGGGTATGTGTGCTTATATAAATATATGTAAAGAGTGTGATAACATTGCAGTTTTGGCAAACATAGAAGCACTATCGTTAAAAGCAGAGAAAAATAAAAGAGAGAACTGAGCATGCAAAGAGCAAAATGACTTCAAAGGAGTTTAGGGAGGAATTAAAGCAAATTTTAAAAGGCTCAGTTGACTTAAATAATTTTATAGAGAATTAAAAGAATTCCAGACTTCCTAGGTTAAAAGCAATTTATCATAAACTTAGAGAAACTTCAGCTCTTCAAGGACCCAGTCTTGTTCCCACTAAAGAATCAATGAAAATTTTGTCATTTTCTGGCATCAGGATTTGGCACCGGTAATAGAAATTTCAACAAGAAAAGCTCTTTTTTTTCTGCTAGGAAAAAAAAGCGTGAGCGCAGCTACTGAAACAAAATTAACAAGTAATAGTAATTTATATAATACTAGTGCTTACATCACACTTTCCATCCATTGATTTCAAAGTGCTTTACAAAGGAAAGTAAATGACCAGTCTAAGCCATACCATGCTGAGCATGTATTAACCTTAAAGAATATCTTCTGATTCCCCCTCTTCACAATTTTCAGAGGTCTTGATTGTTTACTTTTTTAAAAGCCAAATCCTGATCCCAGCCAAGTCACTAGCAAAACTCTTATTGAATCACAGAATCATAGGACTGGAAGGGACCTTGAGAGGTTATCTAATCCAGTCCCCTGCACTCAAGGCAGGATGAAGCATTATCTAGACCATCCCAGACAGGTGTTTGTCTAACCTGCTCTTAAAAATGATGGAGATTCAACAACCTCGCTAGGCAATTTATTCCAGTGCTTAACCACCCTGACAGGAAGTTTTTCTGAATGTCCAACCCAAACCTCCCTTGCTGCAATTTAAGACCATTGTTTCTTGTCCTGTCCTCACAGGTTAAGAAGAACAATTCTTCTCCCTCCTCCTTGTAACAACCTTTTATGTACTTGAAAACAGTTATCATGTCCCCTCTCAGTCTTCTCTTTTCCAGACTAAACAAACCCAATTTTTTTCAATCTTCCCTCATAGATCATGTTTTCTAGACCTTTAATCATTTTTTGTTGCTCTTCTCTGGACTTTCTCCAATTCGTCCACATCTTTCCTGAAATGTGGCACTCAGAACTGGACACAATACTCCAGTTGAGGCCTAATCAGTGCGGGGTAGAGCGGAAGAATTACTTCTCGTGTCTTGCTTACCACACTCCTGCTAATACATCCAAGAATGATGTTTGTTTTTTTTGCAACAATGTTACACTGTTGACTAATATTTAGCTTATGGTCCACTATGACCCCCAGATTCCTTTCTGCAGTACTCTTTCCCAGGCAGTCATTTCCCATTTTGTATGTGTGCAACTGATTATTCCTTCTTATATGGAGTACTTTGCATTTGTCCTTATTGAATTTCATCCTATTTACTTGAGACCATTTCTCCAGTTTGTCCAAATAATTTTGAAGTTTAATCCTATCCTCCAAAGCACTTGCAACCCCTCCCATCTTGGTACCATCCGCAAACTTTATAAGTGTAATCTCTATGCCATTATCTAAATCATTGACGATATTGAACAGAACTGGACCCAGAACTGCTTCCACTCATTATGCCCTTCCTGCATGAGAAGTGGGAACACAATTTGATACAGAGTGAAGAAGCCAAATGACGTTCAACTTCTCTGTCTCTTATTTATCTTGTAAATAGCGCCAAGTGTGCAGACAGCATTTGAAAAGAAAAGCCAAACTAATGAGTCCCTTCCACTTACTCCAAGGTACTGATGGTAGCTCAATAGCTTAGGTCCAATACTTCTCTATGCTTTTCATTTTGCAATAAATAAAGGCTGACTCTTGGGATTTGGCACAAATTACACAATTTGTAAAGTTAAAAACAGCAACAAAATGCTTAGAGCTGAGCTGAAATGCTTCTTAATGAGATAAATAATACTGGGTGAGAGCCTAAGTCAGTAACTGAACTCAAGTAGAGTGGAGCGGAAGGGGCAACAGGGCGATAATGGTACCTTCCTGCATCACAGCCACCCAGCACCAGGGCAAGGTAGGGCTGCACAAGAGTGGCCCTAATTTATGCAACTGGCATAAGGTCCCTCAGGGCTGTTCCTGAGCTCCCTCAGGGACCTCACCTCATTGGGGGATAGGACATAGCTAGAGCTGGCTTCTTCCATCCCCCCTCCCTTCCCCATCCTTTTTAAAATCAAAATTGGATATTTTTCTAAAACATATGCTCTAGGTTACACAGGAATTGTTTCAGGGAAGTTCTATGGCCTGTGTTGTGCACCCCCAACATGCTCCCTGCCTCCCTCTTTTCCTTTATAAAGGGAGCGTTTGGGGAGAGGAGGTGGGAGATGGGAGGCACAGAAGGAAGTCGAGTTTTCCCCGGCACAAGGAGAATTCTCAGATGGCCACCGCTGGTGCATTACGGCTCTTTTGTGCCACTTACTGAAGAATCTGGCTCTAATGTGTGTAGATTTTATGGGGCAGATTCTCGCCTATACTCTGGCTCCCTTTTACCAATCTGCCAGTGCAAAGGATCTGTAAAAATAGCAGGTCTGATTGTATAGGGATTCCTTGAGCATGGGGGAAATCCCTGAATGAGGTAGGGTTACCATAGTAGTGCTTATACCACTCCCCATTCATAGCTCCCTGGCTTTGTAAAACACCCGGCTGCACCTTTATTCATCAGCTTTCAGAATGTCCTCAGTGCTCCTCTAAAGCATCCCCAGAACATTAGCCCCACAAAGGTGCTATAAATATATTTTATCCTCTGAGGCTGAATACAGACCTATAAATACAGTATGTACTTAAAAAAAAACATACAGCATCTGAGATTGTGGAGTGGGAATCTGAGATACTAATTGTTGTCATACTGGCCATTCCCTCCCTCTATTAACCCAACATCTTTCCTTCTTTCTGCAGAATGTGTCAGCTGCTATCATCAGGTGACTGGAGCTGTGATGTTACAGTGATCACTTTAAAAGTTTCCCCATTTTGTCCCACCAGTCTAAGAAATACACTCAATACCTAAAACAGGTGATACCACTGTGTCATGGATCCACAGGATTGGTGCTGTACTCCTAGCTTTTGAACAGTCTCCAGGAGGAACAGCTTCAGTGTAGCCAGACCTCCAAGGGGTCCCACTCTGCCTTCAGGGGCTTCAGCACTCCTGTTTCACACTCTGAGCTCTGATTATTAGGGACCAAGAATGTAGCTAGAACTGGAATAACATGAAATAAATGTCTTTAAGCACTACCTGACACTGGTATTAACTAAGCTACCCAGGTCATTCTTTGCAATGGCAATATATCTTCCTGGAAGCACACAGACTGAGCATTGTATAAAGTCTGAGAATCAAAGGATAAACTTGTTTTACAACATTTCAATTTTATTTTACAGACTGCCCTGGTGCTTGCCATATTGTTCATGTCACTTACTACAGCAGTATCTGTGCCTTTAGATCAAATATTTCAGTATATTGAAGAACATCAAAATGAATACGTGCAGGTAAAGACCATTGCTGCACAGTAAAAATGTTTGCAATGTAAGTTTCTAGTCGTATGAATTCTCAAAGACTTTAAAAAATAAATCCTAAAATGGTTCAATTAGTGATCATAGCATACTTGGTATTTTACTTCTGGTCATCGTATTCTTTGCTCTTTTTGGATGAAAAGTGATATATGTATATATGCAATGAACTATTTTGGATAATATTTCATATGATTTTCATAAGAAAGTAGTAGCAATAATAATGAATACCTAGTTCTTGTATAGAGTTTTTCATCCTTAGATCTCAAAGTGTTTTACAAAGGAGTAAGCAGACTTATATGAGTTTTCTGTTTCTTTCAGCTAATAAACTTTAGCTTTCTAAAAGTACTACATATGGGGCAAGTATTTTTTAACAATAAATAGGATAAGGAATCAAAAAAGGCCAAAACCTCACCATTGGAGGTTTTAACCTAAGTAAGATATGCAACATTTTTCCTAGGACCCAGAGTATTCCATGCATCTATAATAACAGAATTTATCACAGAATGCACCCTTTGCCAAACCGTTACTATAAGTTTTGTGTTCTGGAATATAAACTTTATATATTTATATACTGTAGTGCTCATTATTGTGAAGATAAACTTGAAAACCTGAGTTTTGTGTAAAATGATTCAATGTTGTCTTCCTCACTCTGCAGCCAGCCTGAAACAATACCTCTGAACTGACCTGTTCATTTCCAGTAGTTGTTGACACGGAAGCCTAAAGATGACACTTTAAATGTTGAAATTAACTATTCTGCTACTCATTATTTTAGCAGAAACATCCAGCTAAAGTTCCTCATCTAGTCCCTACCCAGCTACCAAAACTTCTAGCTTCTCCCCTGACAACTTCTACTATGCAGCTATGCACTGTGAATACAAAAAAAGCATACCATATTGGTAACTGGAAATGTGGGGACAGTTTAAAATAAAGGAATTAAACATCAAAATAAATAACACAAGGGACACTGTACTGATTTAATAAATCATTTTCATATTTAATGCATTAGAAAGCTAAATTTCAATGAACCTGCCATAAATTTACAGGCTAAATGTTAAAATATGACATCATAGGATTCCATGGTTGTAGCTTCTTAGAGCCCACTTTTAAAACCCTAATTCACACTGAGTTAGTACCTTTCTACATAGGAATTTGCATTTATTTCAACAGGACAACTGGTGGAGCAAGTTACAACCCAACATGAATACATTGGCCAGAATTGGGTCCTCCTTGATTTTCCATATGAAATGTGTTCAGTTTACAAATAAAAAGATTCTTAATACATTTTAAATAAATGTCAGCTTTGCAAATTTTATCTGGAATCTATGACTTAAACTGAGTTCTTTCCTTCAACATATCATCTTCAGTGATAAAGATTCTAATGACAAATTTAGGCCATCACTGACCCCTATACAACCTCATTGTTTAGGAAATATGTCCCCAAGAACACCTTTGCAAAACCATTTCCTTCAATGGATTTGTATAGGTGCAACTGTTTGGAATTTAACAAACAAACAATTCTACTGATGATGCACAAGAAGCAGTAGAATTCAGCTCTATCTCAACTGCATTGGCTCTACAGTGCTATCATTAGTGAAAAACAATAGAAACTTATTATTGCCACTAACAACAACAAAGAAGACCCTAAATACACATAAGGAACAGATTTCTGGAGTAAGAATGTGCCATTCATCCATAATCAATTTGCAGAGTAGAACCACATTTCAATTTCTTAGCTTTCTTAATTTGTTTAACCCACTTAGGTCCCAATGCAGGAATGTTCTGCCTAGGAGAGAGGATCCTGTATCCATGAAGAGCTCATTGCAGGATTCAGGCCATAGTTGATATTTAAAAGCTATGTGAATGAGGATAGAACAATGAATGTGATTGTGAAGCTGTCTTGAGTAGCTCACGACCATGAGTGCCAGCCTCAGGGCAGACTGTCAGAAAGCAGGGCAGAAACCCCAAATTAGTTGTATGTCCTCCAATTTGATTTCAACCAATCCAGTCTCAAATGTGAATTCCTAAAGCATTATAACAGTTATATCATGGAGTCACAGGCAGACTCCTGGCCATTCCAGTCTATCTTGACACCCAGGCAAGCTGGAGTATGTGATAGATGGCCGTTTTACATCAAAGATCAAAAAATATTCAGGTTACTCCTAGTCCCAAAGGACCAGTCACTTACCCCAGGTAAATTGTACTCAGCTCTCAAACCAAGGACAATGCCTGTAGCCAGTCCTGTAATAAACTAACTAAAGATGTATTAAGTAAGAAAAGAAATGAGAGTTATTTATGAGGTTAAAACAGGAAACATACACACACAAATGAGTTACAGTCTTAGATTTTAAAAGGTAATATAAGCGTCTATAATAAGCAGCTCTATTTGTCCCTTAGGGCTGACCCATGCAAGGCAGCATGGAGATCTCTTGCTTATGTTTAGGAATCTTTGCCCCTCAGAGTCTAACCAGCATAAAGATCCAGATCTCCTTGTCAAGGATTTTTATCCCCTTCACCCCAGAATCCAAACTGATAGAACAAGTGTCGGTGCCTGGCTCCTCTTCATGTAGGTGAGGAGGGCAATCAACCAGGTCTTTGTCCTCTTGATGCCTTACAATGGCTCATCTGGTTTCAAAGGCCCTCTTGTCTGCTGGACCAGCACTTTACACTAATTAATGCTTCTTTTCCTGTTTGGTGAGTTACATAATTACAGAGGTTTACACTGAAAACACTCAATATAAATTTATACCAAGCATTGTCTAAGCACTAAACACATTCTTATAACACTAATATCTAATTTATCTATACTAACACACCAGTAAGCCAGACTGGTTTCCAGGTCTGCATTTGTCAGTGTTCAGTGAGGCCCTGGGCCTTGGCATTAGCTGGCACCTGGTCTGTCAGCGTCACAGTGATGTTTTCAGGTAACTTTCATTTCAGAGGGCTGTAACATCAGTTTAGAGCGATACACTGCATGTAGACCATCACCTTCAATTTTCTTATCCTGCAGAGACTCAAAGATTGGGTGGCCATAGAAAGTGACTCCAATGACCCTGCAAAGAGACATCTGGTTATAAACATGATGCTTTTGGCAGAAGAGAGGATAAGAAAGTTAGGTGGAACAGTTGAGATGGTAGATCTGGACATGCAAGAGGTAATACATTTTCACTGTGTTTTCAGGATACAAATCTAAATATCTATAACCAGCTTTTGTCTAGTGATATAACTGTGTTATCTAAGTGCTGTACAAATTAAGAAGCACACCTATAAAATGGGTTACCACTGTAACTGTAAGTATGGTTTTTCTTTGGCTTTTGCATCAATAAATAAAATGCAGACTACAAAAAAGGCCTCATTTTATATACACAGGACCAATAGTGTAATCCTGGTGTATTAAGTGACCAGAATTTAAAGGGCCATCATCAACTTTAAAATCCCGTTTACGAGGCAGGGGAGCCAGTGAGCTATGAAGATCCTTTCCTCCCCTTTTTCAGAGGCCCAGAAGAGGGGATGCCAGGAAACAACAGGAAACATAATTTCTGTTCCTGACCCCCGAGGCTTAGAAGAAGTAGAACTGGGTGTCGGTGGAAGCATCTGCCTCCTAGCACTACAGCTTCCAGAACTTTTCCTTATCCTCTTAAATCCGAGGCACTGCACACACCAGTGATGTTTTTAATGTTATGTGACTGGAACTAGGACCAACCTCCTGCAACAAAATGGTTTGCACGTCCCAAAGACCATTTCTTATTTTGTGCTACAGCTAGCATTGTTACTCTTTTGCTGCATATATAACCATTCACTGCTCCAGAAAATTATATATTCTTGCATAATAGCCTTAGGATGTAGATTCTAGTCTGCTTTTATATAGCAGTCATTCTAAAATTATTTTTACAAGGACAGAACTAAACAGAAGACATTCAAAAATCAAGACAAGTAGGATCAAAATCATCCCTGGTGCAAACTCCAGTGACTTCATCATCTATAAATGCATGTTTTGGAAGCCTCTATCAATGTATATAATGAAACTCTGATTTATTTTAGCTACCCAATGGAAACAAAATCTCTTTGCCACCAGTTATTCTGGCAAACATTGTAAAAGATCCAAAAAAGCCTACCGTTTGTTTTTATGGGCATATGGATGTGCAGCCGGCAAAAATTGAGGATGGATGGTCAACAGAGCCTTACATATTGACAGAGAAAAATGGTAAGTGCTTGAGCTGCTTGAAAGCTTTCAGCAACTGGCTTATCATGTATACAGTCAGACCCTTTATCCTAAAGCAGCTTCTCTACCATGAAAGAAAAAGAGGAAGATCATTCAAATAACATAGAAACAAATAATTCTGTTCAGGTAAAATAGAAAACCTTCTGGGAAATGCCTTCCTTGTCTGTGAATAGGTGTTCCACTAAAATCCTTTGAACTTTCCCCCCTTATATGCAAAAATAAGCACTTGCCTTAAAAATACAGATGCACAGAAGATCTTGCGCCAAATTCAGATTGTATCTTGCACATATGCCGACAGCAGAAATTAGAGCTGAAATTCTGAATCCACTGAAGCCATAGGAGTTTTGCTATTGACTTCAGTATAGCCAGGATTTCACCTGAGGTGTCCAAATGGGGTACAACTTTTGTGCCTTACTACCAGTTCCTGTCAAACACACAGAATCCATGCTCTGCTGTTCCTCCATGGCTAGAAAAGCAGGAGAATTCTGGGGCAGGAGGCATGGTTGAGACATTTAGCTCCCTTGATCAGCTATTATATTCCCCCATTCAGACTGCTGATGTTCCTGCTGAGTACTCTGTATGGATGGCTGTGCTGAATTTGTGGGCATTCCTGGTCTGATCAGAATAAGGGTGCAAAATCATATTGCTTTTGTACTATTATTTTCTGCCAGTTTTGGAAGGCAATGCTGAAGACAACCTCACTTTAGCCCTTCCATTCAGCTTGTTATAAAATTTCTCCTACTCAACTATCAGCTACCAAAGAACTTTAATTAGAAATGAGCATACAAAAGGAAGGGTGTCCAATATAAACATTTACTACAAGTAAATATGGACGTTGCACTTATTACAGTACAAATCCAATAATGGAATTTGGAATAGCAAAGGTTGAGTACTCCAGCTACATTTTGAACATCGGGGGATAGCTAGTCCTAGCTTCCGGAGACCTTGTTATTCAAATATGATTACTTTTTCTACAGACCACGTAGAGCTCTGTGTTACATATACAACCTGTCAAAACACTATTTTAGTTGTATGCAAGATCATAAATAGAAGGAGGAAATACTATGGAGTTTAAAGATTTTATATTTATTAATAGTTTAAAGAGTAATTTTATTTTAAACATTAATTCAGTAAAATATTGCATCCTGGGGCTATATATTTATTGGGTCCCAGTGATTTCCACATCAGATATGGTCAGCTTACAAGTAAAAAGATAATTTTCTAAAGGCCATCCTCGCAAATTCATCCTGAGCTCTGAAAGTCTAGCTGGTTTCTTTCCTACTTGTTCAGTGCACAATGATGAGAAATAAAATTTCTACAGATCAACTATGCCTCTATTACACCTGTGCAACATCAATGTCTGCACTTGCCTAATGAACTAACTTTATTAGTTATCCTAATCTCATTCTATTTGTTTTGAAGGCAATCTCTACGGACGAGGTGCATCTGATGACAAAGGACAAGTTCTGGCTGTGCTGAATGCAATTGAAGCACTTCAAAAACATGCATGTAACTTTTTCTTCCTTTATCAATCAGTTTGCTATTTGCAACTATGTAACCAATTGCTTATAAAACTTTTTGAAACATTTCCTTATAGGAACTTCCTGTTAATGTAAAGATTCTGCTTGAAGGTATGGAAGAAGTAGGGTCCATTGGGCTAAATACGCTAGTTGAACAGAGAAATAGTACATTTTTTTCTGACGTTGATTACATTGTGGTCACTGACTCCGCATGGCTCAGCAACAAACCTGGTATTACATATGGGACAAGAGGAAACTGCTACTTCTTTGTTGAGGTTAGTGCAAAAAGAAGCATGATCTTATACTCTCATTAACTGAATATTACCTGAGTATTTATCAAGTGGCTTTATATTTATCCAGGTCCAAACACTAATAGCCCTGCTGAATATATAAACTCACAGGGTTAAAGGGAGATATAGGATTATACAGTGATTCCATCTCTGTTATATATGGTAGTAATTTTAAGGCTGAACTAAAGGAATCACCACTTTCTAGTACTGGTATATAGAAATAACAATAGTAAGTTCACATATAAGCACATTATGGGTCAAATTATCCTTTCAGTTGTACCAGTGCAACCTCACTGAAATTAACTAAGAGGAGAATTTGTCCCTCTATATATTCAAAGGGCTTTACAAAATATTAGCTAATGAATTAAGGATTTTCTGTACATGCCAGTCTCCAAGGAATTTATCTGGGATCATGAAATACATAGGATTTAAGGTTGCAAGCAGAGATTTATCATTGGTAGGGCTAGTGGTCTATCTTGATAAATTAGAACAGAAAGTCATAGTCTGATAGCAGGGAGAGAGAAAAAGGCAGAGGTCATGAATTTATAATGACAAATGACAAAAAATAGGCCACACTATTTTAATCAAAATATATATTTTTTTCTATAAAAACTACTTCATTCTCTATAATCTATTAGCTTAAAATGATTTAAAACTCTTATTCTGGTGCCTCTTGGTTCAATAGCAGTGCAGGAAGTTGGAAGTATAGCTCCTGCTTTATCTTCTTCAGCACTGCTTCCCTGCCTCTGCCTCTGCAAAAGGCAGCGAGGGCACCAGTGTTGTGCAGGCATCTCTCATCATGTCCACTTCCTAGCTATGTAAACACCATAATGTTTTACTAAAAAACCAGAAATATTGTGCCATTTCATAGTAAGCCTGCCCCCAATGACAGGACAATAAAAATGGAACTGGGCACATCATTTTTGTGCTGAAAGTTTCATCCTGATTATCCAGAAAATATTTATTCTACAGTACATGTGGAACAGTAGAAAAAATGAAAATGTCAGTTCTCATTTTTAATGCCCAGCATGTTTTTAAAAAATATGGCTCTCAAGATTGTCAGACTAGTCTGTCAGCATCAGAAGAAGTAAATGGATAATAGATTCTTTAATATTAAGTCAAATAAATATTATTTAAAGAAAGGTGCATTAGCACATTTTTTTCCCCACAGTGATGGAAAAGAGAACAAAACTGCAAGCAAAACAAAAAACAATAACATATAAGTTGTGGTAATATACCTAGAAATCCTGAAATGAAAATTACCATAGACTTTTCCTGTTGAATTAAACTGAAAGCTTACACAGCCTTCTCCATGGCTTGTAAAGGAAGTATCAAGTGTGTTCATCTATGCTATTTTTGCAGGTAGAATGTGCTAAACGAGACTTACACTCAGGGGGCTTTGGAGGAATATTACATGAAGCAATGAATGACTTAATATTTCTATTAAGTAAGTATTGCTTTAATTATCTATGAATAAATGTCATGTTCCAGGTCTGTCATGTTCCATTTCAAAGCATATCAGGTATTGTTCTGATGCCCACCAACTAAAAGCACAGGAATATAAAAACATGAATTACATGTACTGGGCCTGGTACTGACATTGTTACTCAGACAAAACTCCTATTAATTCTCATAAGACTTTTTCTTAGTAAGGACTAAGTAAAGAAGACTTCTGGTTTTGATCCATAGTATGCATAATTGCAAATGCTGCAGCATTTGATCCAACAGTGTAATTTACTTTAATTATATAGGACCAAGTTAATTTAAATGGGCAATTCACAAAAAAAGGAACAACTCTGTGGAAGTAGGGATGGCAGAATTAGGCCCATATTTATTTTAAAGCAACACCAGCAACCTGTGTTTACTTTAATGTGTTTGTAACATTGCAACCCCAATTCTGTTTGTTTCATGTACCATGTATTGGATAATAACATGAAAGGATTCTGTATTGTTAAAGCAACTATTTAAACAGGTATTGCAACTGCAGCTAGCATTCAAACTGTGTGCAGACAAACAGACTTCCTGGTGTCTCCTCCAAACTCTTTCCTCCTGCAACTTGAGCTCCTCCCTCCAAGTCCCATGGGGGTTGCTACAAGGTTTCTTACAGTATGTGGTGTTTTAACTACTTTAATGCAGTTTTAAGGTTGAGATTTTAATCAGATGAAGAGTATCTTTGTCAGTTAATAATTCACTCCAGAAAGAAATTGCGCCATCCAAAAGCAGCAGGCCTAGCTCGCAAGCTAAGTGTGAAAGCAACTCTCCTTTTAGTAATAGGTAAACCTAGGTTTAGTCCAAAGGTCATAGCTTTTAAATAAAAGCATTAATCTCCAAAGAGAGGAGACAAAAAGGGACAGAGGCTTTAGGTGAATTTGGTAGAAAATGAATAAAGCAAAGAGACGCTCAGAATAGGAGATAATGTGCAGTAAAAGGACATTGAGCAATTAAAGTAATAAGACTACTGCACCAGAGATTGTGGGGAATCCACCCATCTAAGAACTAACCAGGCCGCAATCTGTTAGCTTTAAATGTGGAAGAAGATTAGGTTTATTTGCATTGGTATGGACTTTCTCTTTATGTATCCAGCCACTGCTTTTTCAGTTGCAACCTACTTTGACTCCCATTATTTATTCACCTCAGGGTACATTATTTAGGTTTTTTTCTAAAGTTCTGTGCAAGTAAGTTGAAAAGTTAAGGAGGGATTTTGTTGTAAGAAAATGGTGATGAGCAATGCTCATTCTGAGTAAAAGCACCTAATTTTATGTATCTAATCTCTGTGGCTGATAGCTGTAGAATGTTTTTAATGTGTCTATCACAACAGTATATAAGGTAACAATATGTGCACCAGGTGTGCAAATTTACATATCTACATGTTTTTCTCCTACATACATAAATTGTCCCCACTGTTAATTTATTTGTGACAAAACAGAAACACCCACCTGTAGTTATTAAATTTTAATTATAATACTGATTAACAATACAGTGTAAGTTTTCAAAGTTTGATGTACAGCACCTTGCATCTTTTTTTCCTCCATTGGGTTTCTAAGAGCCTCATGGAGATTAACTGCCCTGATCCTTCTCCTCTTCTACTCCCTCTCCTGCATAAGTCTCTCTTCAGGAGGACTTTGGACCTTGTCAGCTCATAGGCTGCGTCTACACTACAAGCTAGGGGTGTTATTCCCCTGCTTGTGTGCATATATACTCACGCTAGCTCTAAGCTCTAAACTAGCGTGAGTATAAATAGCAGTGTACCTGGGGTTGCACAGGTGGTGGCCAGGGTAGTGGCAGCAGCAGCATAGGCACAAGTAGCCACAGAGGAGGCATAGCTGAGCTGTGCTGAGTACTTACTCAGTAGTTTCAGGTGAGTAAATATTTAGCATGACGACTCAGCTGTTCCTCCATGACTCCACTGTTATTTATACTTGTGCATGCTCGCTGAGAGGTAATGTGAGTATGTGTACAACAGCAGGGAATTCATACCTCTGGCTCACAGTGTAGGTGTAGTCCATGTATCACAAGAGGGGTCACAAATTACTTTCTGTCTCAGGAAAAAGTGTGGTGCCTTTCCAATCCCCGCTGCTCCCAAAGACCCCAATTCATTTTAGGACTCAAATTTATATCTCCCATATGACAGTGCCTTGAGTTGCCACTAAATCACAGCTGTAAATAAATGGTTAATTGTTACACATATACTTAAATTAGGCTCAGAAAACTACAGAGCTTGAAAACTGCAATTATAAGTGACATTAAAATATAACAGTAAGGTCAATATTAAACATGAAAACCATCTCTGCAGAGTTTTTACAGACATTTTTTGTTGCAGATTTCTGTTGTCCCTGCAGTGCTTATTAGACATGAATCTTCTTTTTCTAGACCAATTAAAATTCATTTGGATTTTTCTCTAGACACCCTGGTAGATTCCTCTGGTCATATCCTGATCCCTGGAATTTATGAAGCAGTAGCTCCTCTCACTGAAAAAGAAAAGAAACTCTATGAAGGAATTGAATATGACCTGGACCAGATTATGGCCAAATATGGAATAGAAGAGTTTCATAACAAAACTAAGGTATATGTCACATTTATTTTTATATTGGTAATAGAATTTTCCTTCACTGGTTTCAGGCTTCTCAGTTGGAATAATAAATCATAGTCATTACTAAGTCAGTGGGGTTCTTTCCATTGACTTCAATGGGCTTTGAATCAGGCCCTAAAATCAGGGGTTCCCTCAAATCTCTCAATCTCACCAGTGCTGGGACCCTATGTGTGTTACTTGTCTTAGATTTTAGCAAGCTCTTCAGGGCAGGGACAACTACTTCTTTTATGTATCACTAACACAAGGGGACCCAATCAAGATTAGGCCCTTTGGACAACGTGGCAATATAAATATTAAATGACGGTGGTCAAGAACAACTTTTGCTTTGTGATAGGATCACAGATTGCCAGAATTCTACCAACAAAATTCTGTTCTCGGTTGAACAGGTATTTCAGTGGGGGTTTCACCCATATAACTGAGTGCAGAATTTGGCCCAACCGAGAAGTCTTTTATTTGCTAATACACCTATCTCTTGGAAAAACCTGCGTAATCCTTATAGTACCCACTGCAAAAGTGACACCTTAGTCAGCAAAGAGATAAATGGTCATGCTCTGTGACTAACATAGAGTAAGGATTTGGGTATCCCAATATATAAAACTATGGACTATATATAAAATAATATATAAAACTATTAAAGACTGTGACTCACCTAAAGATATGACCCCCTTAAAAATACATTTATTAACTAAAATATTGGTCACTGTTCTATTTTTAATGCCACTTATGTTTTTCTTCCAGTTGACATATGTAACATCCATTATCATTCATGGAAGTTGTGGGCCCATATCACAAGGAAATACACTGATTGGGCATTCTGAAGATGCAAAATTAGTATAAAATCTGTATTTCATGTGGTGTGGTTTGTTCTGAATGCTCATGACTGATCTGATATCATATAAAGCACCTTAAATGTTGAAGCTAAGATACCTACAAACCTAATATTTATATTTGAGATACTGTACTTTCACTGACTTGCTTTGTGGGCTTGAGAAAGATGAATTCTATGCACTTCTATAGTGGCAATACTATAAATGCTTGAAAGCTGGATATTTTATATGTAACAGATATTATGGTGTAATAAATGGATCTCTTTCATTTTGTTACAATGAGTTACCTTTAAGAAAAAACAAGCCGTGGAAGATTTGGCACAGTCAATCTCTAGGCAGATTTATATATAGCACACTTACATACACAAAGAGTGGTTTCATGTGGAAATAATAATACTGAGACTGCTTCTCTAAGAATCATACATGCAATCTGTTATTGTGAAGTAACATGAAGTGCTAGCTAATTACAGATTATTGTTTAATGCCTCCTCTGCTTTAATATATTTACATTTTTTACATCTTCAGGAAGAATTATTAATGCAAAGATCACGCTATCCATCTCTTTCCATCCATGGAATCGAAGGAGCTTTTTCTGCACCTGGAACTAAGACTGTAATCCCTGCAAAAGTAACTGGAAAGTTTTCAATACGTGTGGTGCCGAACATGGAGCCTTCTGTAGTAAAGAAACAGGTAGGATGGTGGATCCTTCCTTTTTTAATTCCTCCTATACCTGTTTATTGCATTCACTGACTTCAAAATGAATGAGTTCTGCACCTGTGAGCTTAGCAGCAAGTTGTTTCTTGGCTACATTTTTGATACTCTGTCCCCTCCTGAGCTGCACTTTGTACTGCTTGGTTGTAGCTGAGGATCTGAGTTTCTGCTATATAAGAAGAAACTAATATAGGGGCATGTATGTCTCCAAGAAGAAATATGATAAAAAAGAACATGTTAAAAATGTCGTACTACAGTTTCACTATCTATAATGTACCTATCCCAACAACAGACTCTAGATGTAAATAATATGCGGTCACTCCATATCCCTTTGGCTGCAAATTCAAAAGCATCTATCATTTTCCAAGATCAAATACAAATGACAACCATCAGATTCTGACAAAACTATGGTTTGGTCCCAGGGTTAATTAGGGTTACCATATTTAACAAATAAAAAAAGTGGACCCTCCACGAGGCCCTGGCCCCGCCCGTTTCCCACCCCAGCCCGCCCTATCTCCGCCCCTTCCCCGCCCTAACTCCGCCCCTCCTCCCTCCCACTCCCAGCCACGCGAAAAGGGGTGCCCGAGCGCTACCGGCTTCACGGTTTGCCGGGCAG